GGTCGCAGCATGCTCGGTGCTGACGGCAAAGCACAAACACTCTTGCCACTCTCATTCACTCATTCACTTCATTCACTTCAGTTCCCTGCGTCCTTCCCTTTCTCGCAAAGCACATCTTTGTCTTTGACTTCTGAAGAAATCTCTCCCTTTCTCATATCCCTGGTACTTTAAGGGAAAAAAGAAAAAAAGCAAAGCCTATAAACTAAAGATATTCATTTAGGCACAGCTCACAGAAATAGTCATGCAACGGTTTTTGATTCTTTCTATAAAGAGCACGGCTTCTATTTCCATCATCTTATGTCCCCCTGAAAGCATTTTACGGTTATTTCTTGTTCTCTGTTTTCCCAATTGGATGACTTAAACACCATTCCTGAGAGGCAGCCGTTTCCAGAGTATTGCACAGTGTATTGAGTGCATGAGAATTGTGGCCGTCGGCAGCACCGACCTTTAAAGAGAATCAAAGGTGCTCTTGTTCCAGTTTGCTGACTTACAGAGAAAGCAATTTCTCTGGGTGTGTCCCTTCATCCAGGAACAGGACCCATCACAGTGTCACAGACAGAAGGGGAAGGTCTCTTTGCCACCATTTGTGTCAACCCTCTCATTTTACACACGCGAAAACAGACCTAGAGAACTTAGGTTACTTGTTAAGTAGCCCCCAGTAGGGAGCTGCAATTAGCTCTTAGCAAGCCTGAATCTCAGCCGAAGGCTGTCAACCCCTAATCTCTGCAGCTCCCTAGATGTTGGTCTTCTTAATATTGAAATACAGCACATTTGCCCTGTGAAACTTCCTTATTCTTAAACAAGATGATTTTTAGAATTTTTTTAGTGTATATATAATTACAGCCATTATTTATTAGACTCCAACTGGGTGCCAAGGTGTGTGCTGTTTTGTTCACATTAACACATGAGAGGATTATTGTTTTTCTCCAAGCTATGAAGTCTCAGAGATTGGTGAACAGTGTAAGAAAAAGATAGGAACATTGATAAAACAAAGCCTCGGCACAGAACATCGTCCCCCTCGATATAACCATGGAAACTAGCCTGGTCAATATTTGCAGTTCACAAAAGAAATCAAGGGCTTAAAGAAATATTCTCAGCCACAGAGTTAGGGAGCTGGCCAATGAATTTGGTGTAGGTATATAAATGCATGTGCTAGTTGTGTATGTGTTACGGGAAGTTAAGTTAGAATGAAGCTGGGGGGGTCTTACAGATGATGGGAGGAAAAACAGCTTTTCAGGAGGGAGTTGGAAAAGTCTGGGCATGGAGAGAATGAACAGTCTCATGTCCAGTCACCTCATCTGCTCAGTTCATCATAGCAAGGACAAGCCACAAACTACACAGTCTGCAAAAGGGTTGTCTTGCTCACCATAACCCATAAGGACCAGTTCTAGCCTACCTACCTGTTACTGTTACTTTTCTCTCTGTTACTTTGGCAAAATAGCTCATGGCTGCCCCTGAAAAAAACCCTAATGCCAGTCTTCTTCTCAGGAATTGTGGTGGTTTCTCTAGAACTGTATGGGTGTGACAAGTCTTGAGGAAATTGCTACTTCATAATCTTGCCCCAGATTTGACCTTGCCCTCAAGGTGAGGAGGAATAAGGATCCAGAGAGATCCAGTCCACTGCTGTAGGTGGCCAAGGGAGGGAGGGCTGTGCAGACAGCCCTGCTCAATTAAGTGCACACCATCATTTGGTATTTAAAGAAAACAAAACAAAACACCAAAGACTGAAGAACATCGACAGGGCCAAATGACATCAAACTGCAACGGGAGACCCCCTCCAGGAGGTGTCTAAGTGAGTGAGAAATCAAGGTATTCTAATTAAACACGTAGTTTGAAAGAAGTGTAAAGTACTTGGCAGAGAATTACTGAGGTAGGAAATTAATAAAGTTCACTCCTAGTGTTAAATGAGCTTTCTTAATTCTAAAATCCAAAAAAAAGTACCTTTGGTTGTGTTATAAATTTAGTGGAATTAGGGGTGCCTGGGTGGCTCAGTCAGTTGAGTATCTGACTTTGGCTCAGGTCATGACCTCACCTCCATGGGTTCAAGCCCCGCATTGGGCTCTGTGCTGACAGCTCAGAGCCTGGAGCCTTTTTTTTTTTTTTTATTCTGTGTCTTCATCTCTCTCTGTCCCTCCCCAGCTCATGCTCTGTCTCCCTCTCTCTCTCTCAAAAATAAATAAACATTAATATTTTTTGATTTAGTGGAATTATATTCAAGAGTAAAGAGAGACAAAGCCTCTCCCTGCAGAGGACAGTATGGCCGTTGATTGAGAGTCAGGAACAGGTGACTACAGGGTCAGATGCTGCTTTTATTTAAAATTTTGATATTTTGTTAACTTTGGGTTTTTTATTAATTTTTTTAATTTTAATGTTTATTTTTGAGAGACAGGGAGAGAGAGAGAAAGAGAGAGCATGAGCAAAGAGAGAGGAAGTCACAAAATCAAAAGCAGGCTCCAGGCTCTGGGCACAGAGACCAATGCAGGGCTCAAACCCACGAATTGTGAGATCATGACCTGAGCCGAAGTCGGACAGTGATCCCCTAATCCAATGTGACTGGTGTCCTTATAAAAGGGGGACATTTGAGGACACACACACACACACACACACACACACACACACATACACAGAATGCTGTGTGAACATGAAGGCAGAGGTGGGGTGGCTCATTTCTACCAAAGATTGCCAGGAAAGTACCAGAAGCTAGGAGAGAGGCATGGAATGGATTCTCCCCCCACAGTCCTAAGAAGGAACTAACTCAGCTAACACCTCAATCCCAGACTTCCAGCCTCTAGAACTGTGAGATGATAAATTTCTGCTGTTTAAGGCACCCAGTGTGTGGCACTTGATTATGGCAGCTCTAGCAAACTAATACACCATCCTTGGTCTCAAGGAGAAAGAGTACCCCCATACCAGCTGGTCATAAGTGTTCTATTTCAACCTTGTAACCAGGGAAAACTAGATCAGCTCTCAGCCCTGAGATGTAAATATCCAGCCAACTCCAGAGGCTAAGCGGGTAAGGGATACAGGTGAAAAGGGATACGGGGTAAAAGCTAGTTCATTGTAGGGAAGATGTGGCAGAGTTGTAGTTAAGGCTGTGATCACTGTCAGACATGACAACCCCATAAAATGCCAGAGCCAGAGAGGTCAGAGTAAGGAAATTCTGAGGGTCATAGCACCATCCTGCTCTGTGGTCAAAGAAAGGGAAGCCTCGGAGAGGCGAAGTGCATTCAGTATCCCCCTCTGACAACTACTGTATCCCCACAGAGCCTTTATTTATCTGGGAAGTACACCTTTGAGACTGGCATCTGGCCTTATGCTTTCTCAAAGCTCCTACTATGTGCTCAGCTCAGTGCCAGTGGCTGTGTCAGACAGTCTGTTAGAATGCAGGAGTCATCTCAAAATCTAAGGAGAAGGAGAGATATGAACAGTGGGACTCCCTTGACCTTGTCTTAAGGGTGCTTCTCATGAAGAATCTGTAATGGACTTGTCAAAAGAAAGAAACCTAAAGGCAGGCGGGGAAGAAGGAAATGAGAGGAGAAGTGGACAGAAAGAAGAGAATCAAGGATGAAGGGCAGTCTTTTACCCGCATCATCTGATTTCAGACTTAGTCTATAGAGGAGCCGATTCTCATCCATAGCTTATACCCTTCTCCACATCCTTACTTGCAGGAGCCTGAGAGGGACACTGGTCTCATTTGTGAAAGCCTGATACTCATGGGTCAGGACAGCTATGCTAAAGGTTAGTTCCCTTGCAAACGTGGATTTTCCCCTCTCTTGCATTTTCTGGATTCCAACTGCTGGTATGATAGGAGGGAAAGGATTGCTCTCTGCCTTGGGACAGGAGGCTTGGCCATCTCCTGTCTGGTGTCAAGGGGAGACTTGCTGGCCCAAACCATTGGCTTCACATAACCTAAGGGACCTGCATTTTAAAGATTTCTGAAAAGATAATCTAACACAGTGTTTCTTAAATTGAGGTCCATGTATCACTAAAATCAGAATCTCCTGGGATACCTATTAAAAATATATATTTCTGCCCAGCCTGCCTCAGATAGGAGTTTAAACAAGTTCCCAGATGACTTTTATGCATCTTGAAGTTTGAGGTCTAGACTGTTGTGTGATTCATAGTAGCATGGCTAGTTGCTTTCTTGCCATGAGAACTTAATAAGTCCACTTTGACTGTTTCTCAGGGAGCTTCTGTTCCAAAGAGCCCCCTTTTGGATGACTTAACTCAAATGGCTTCTCTTCTGACTGACTCAAAGTCTCCCCTAATTCAGAGTCCTGGTCCAATCCTTGCAGATATTCTAGAAGAGATCCTAACACCCATGGGATTACTTGGGTGGAATAACTACCAAGAGCTCTTTAGAGTTAAAAGGCTTCACACATAGAGATAAGGACTTATTAGATGCACAGTACCTAAGATGTTAAATTTAGTCAAATAACACTGCTTTCTAGTACCAAAAAAAAAAAAAAGTCATTATCTTGAATGATCTCAACCAAGAGGGAACCATAAGATTGGTGAACCTTAAACATGAAGAAGGGTAAAGGGTAGATGCCCTAGTTTGGGGCTACATGACTTAGTTTTCCTTTCCTCCTCAGGGGACATATGGCAATGTCTGAAGACATTTTGGGTTGTGACAACAGCATGTACTACTGGATAAAAGACAGAGATTTTACTTATGATCCTATAGTACCCAGGACAGCCTACCTTTCCCCCTCAACAAGTAACTATGCATCTCAAAGCGTCAAGTACCAAGGTTGGGAAATCCTGTAGTAAAGCATAGGGCAGTTAAAAAAAAAATTTTTTTATGTTTTATTTATTTTTTGAGAGAGAGAAAGAGAGCATGAGCAGGGGTGGGTCAGAGAGAGAGGGAGACACAGAATCCGAAGACAGGCTCCAGGCTCTGAGCTGTCAGCACAGAGCCCAACACTGGGCTCGAACTCACAAACTGAGATCATGACCTGAGCCGAAGTCAGATGCTTAACCAACTGAAACACCCAGGCACCCCAGCATAGGGCAGTTTTAAAAGGGGTCAGCCAGATACTCTAAAATTATAGGAGAACTGGGTGATATTAATGATAAATAAAAATTGAGACACTCTGGAAAGCAAGAAACAGAAGCTGTAGGATATTGTAGTGGAGGAACAAGAACTGGGGATTCCTTGAGTAGTTGATACCTGGAAAGAAAAGGAACTCATAGTGTGACAGATATTGCTGGTTTTCCTCCAAAATTCATTCATCCTTTATTCCAAAGTCATGGGGTTTCAGCCTGACATATGGTTGCCCAACTAAATACTGCACGCCTGGCTATCAGATATGACCACGTGACCAAGTTCTCACCACCGAATGTGAGCTGAAGTAATGTGCACAACTTCCATATTAAAAGGAAATTGTTGCCCTCGGATTTCCTTTCTTTTTTAGAGAGCTGGAACATGGACATGGCCATATCTGAGCCTCCACCATGCAGATGAGGACTATAGCAGGGATCAGCAAATGCTTTTCTTAAAGATCTAGGTAGTAAATGTTTTTTTTTTTTAAATCTCTATGGCCCATTTAGTCTTTATTGCAACTACTCAACTCTACCCATGAAAGCAGCTGCAGAAAGTATGTTAACAAATGGGCATGGATGGTTTCCAATAAAACTTACTTACACAGACCATAAATTGCAAACCCCTACCCTAGGAGATGACAGAAGATTGAGATAAAAGGTGCATGGGTTCCCCAGTGGACTTCGTGGAGTAAGGGACCCCACCAACTCAAACCATTACCAGGGATAGATAATCATGAGAAAGACATGACCATCTCCATTCTTTAAGTGTTTTTAGCTTCGGAAGTCTTTTTGCAGTCACTTAAACATTACCTTCATAGACCCTAATATTCAGACTGCATTAGGCACCTTACATATTTTTCAATTAATCTTTTTAAAAACATGTTAAGTCTTATTCTGTTTTATAAGTAACAACACTGAGGCTCAGAGACACTTCTAGTGCCTCCCCACAAAGGTAGGAAACAGCAGGGCTGGGCGTGGTGATTTGGATTCAGGTCTATCTTATTACCAGACTCTGGAGTCTTCCCATAGCACCATCCTGCTCTAGTAAGCAGCTCCTGTTCAAATCACATGCAAAAAGAGGTGTATGGGGGTTCTCTTACTTATCAGCTGCAGGTCTTCTGGTTTGTCCTTTCAAAATCCAGCCCAACACTCACTTTTTCCAAAAAAGGCTAACCTTCTTGCCTTCAATTCTTGCAGGACAAATTTGTAACATTCGATGAATATTTCACTTTCAAACTCATATGGTTATCTTTGCATTGATACGGCAAACCTCCCTAAATGGATGGTGAGCTCTTCTATGGCAGAGCCTGCCTTGGTGTCTCACCAACGCCTCAACACTGAAGACCACAGCTCACACACAGAACTCTGCCCTCAGTGACTATTGCTCTCCCCACTGCGGGCTATGCACTGCAGGCCATGGTTCTGGGATTCTAACAAGACCTGACAGGAGAAGAGACACAATGCGGGTGGGGGATTTAATCTGTTCACATCTCTGTGTTCTTGCTACTGCTGGACATCTACCTCGTGGGCAAAATACTCACATGACCAACCGAAGCATTCACATACTATAATAATCAGATCCAATTGAATTGTTTATAGCATCACATGCTTCTTTAAAGCAAAACCTGGGGGGATCCAAGCACCCTCTTCGCTCTGTGGCCCGCAGAGGTCTGCTTTGTTCTCCTTTGTGACAGGTTCACATGTTACTCTCAGCGTATGCCCAACACAGACTTTTTGTTCATAGCTGGATTTTCTGTTGGTCTGATTGAATTCTTTTTCAGATTCTCAAACTACACATGTTGTGAGCTAAATGGTTCCCAGCAGGAATCGAATGCTGTGGGAAGACCACCCAGAACTATTCTCCAAGTGACGTCACCTATTCTCAGGTGATGGTTCTGCTACCAGACCATCTATCTCACTGCAGTGTTTTCCAGTGACCGAGAAGAACCTCCAGGTCTGCGTCTTTCTTCAACCTCAGAAACTATCGTGTTAGCCTCCTGCAAGAAGCTGGCTTCTTAAGTCACCATTAGCTTTCTTGTCACCAGCACTGCTAAACCAAAATAACTCATCAGTGGGAGATAATTCAAAAACTTCAGAGAAACTCCCTGTGTTAGGACTTCTGCTCTTCCTTCTGAGACTGAGGACCCTGCAGTCTGCATATCTGAATCCTATTAATCTTTAAACTCCTAATGACTAGCCTGACATTTACTATGTGATCAAGAAACGTTTGTGATCTACAATGATATTCATCATCCCCTGCATTGAAGAAAGACAGCTCTCCCTGGTGGGAGCTCACTGCAGGAGTGAGCCCCTGGGGACCGCAACTTTGAAAGTCAGACACTGTCATCAACCTCCCCCACCCAAGGATAACCTGCCTGTTGCCCTTTATCATGGTAAGTACACATACTGCATGTGTTATGACTGAGATGCTGAGGGGCAGTCAAATACCTCCTAATTAATTAAGGTGGATTAAATAACCTAAATAGAAGATTCTGAGTAGTCTGTTGTTTTAGCTTTATATTTAAATATTCAATGACTACCTGCTCCTCTGTGTGCCATGAATCATGGCGTGAGTAAGTGATTTAAGGTGACTACTAGATTATGCCCAGGAGGGCCTGTCAATATGGCTTGCTATCAACTGCCACTTTATATCAAGGCTAATGGAATGAAATGTAATATGAAATTCTGGTTTGGAGAAAAATAAAATAGTGGTTGTCCATTGATTAAATTTACCTGAAAGTCTGACATAGTCATCGACCAAATGTTGTATTTCTGAATGAGTCATGTGCTTTTAAGAGGCTGCCAGTAAAATGCTGCTTGCATTTTAGACTGAACACTGAAAACATTTGTGCCTTAGATTAACTCCTGGACTCCTAGTTCAGACTGAGCACTCAAACTCCAAACATGCCCAGGCAGGAGTGTGAGCCTTGAGTGATCCTCTCTGTCTCCTGCTGAAGATCCAAACCTGGTGGGCTTAGACTGCAAACCGGAAAGAGCCATGGGCCTAAACAGGTCCAAAGCTCACATTTCACAGATGAAGACACCTTTCTGCTACACCATCTTCATTCATTTCCTCTTGTGGCTGTAAGAGATGACTACAAACTTAGCGACTTAAAACAACACAGTGATAATAATAAGATAATGATCTTACAGCTTTACAGCTCTGGAGGTCAGTAATCTATAATACACACATAGCACTGGGTTCCCTTTGCAAGTTTCAGGGAAGAGTTCCTTTCCCTTCCTAGCTTCTAGAGGCTTCTGGCTCTTGTCTGCCTCCTTCATCCTTAAAGCCAATAGCATAACACTACCCTCCCCCTGACCTCCTGACTTGCTCTTGTAAAGACCTTTGCAATTATATGGGGTCCAGACAGATAATCCAGGACCATCTGTCCATCTCAGTACCATCAACTTAGTCACATCTTTAACATTCCTTTTGCCATATAAGCAACATATTCCTAGGTCCCAGGGATTCAATTACAGATATCTGGGCAGGGGATATTACTCAGCCTACTATGCTGTCGTCAAAAAAAGGAAATGTTGCAAACAAGGCACTGAAATTACTTCATTTTCATGGAAAATATTTCTGTCCATTAACATAATATTTTCTACCTTCGATGAGCATGGCGGTGAGAACCTAAAGCATCAGCACAAGGATCATGCGGGCTCCATCTGGCCTGGCTCTGCTGTTCACAAGCTCTATAAGCTTCAACCAAACAATTCATGAATTGTCCATGTGGCTTAAGAATCTGCATCTTAAAGGAAGTGACAGGAAATGAGGAAGGAGAGATAGTATGAGTGAACCTGAAATATTATATTGAGGAATCACAGGCAAAAATGTGAGTTCCATAAAAGCAGAGCTCTCATTGCTATTTACCCCTGGACCTTCAGTACCTAAAATGGTATAACATGATGAATATTTCATGAATGAAAGAACGTTGTTTCATGAGCCCGTACTATGAAGGCTGTTATGAAAATCACTTATGCATCTCTGTCTTTCCAACTAGATTATAAACTCCTTGAGCAAGAGAGCCAAATCTTCTATTTCATATGCTCACAATACCTAATAAGTGCATACTTAGATACAACTAACAGGTAAGAACCTACTAGATGCATGCTTACGTGCACTTAATCGTCAAACTACCAAAGAACTTATAATTTAGTGTTCTCAGTTTTCACATATAAATGTAAATTTGAAAGAAATCATCTATTTAATAGCATATTTATAAACTTTCTTACACTGGACTCTTTGGGAAATCTTTTTAGCAATATATTCACTGGTTTTAATATAAAATGAAATAGTCTCAAAAGGAATCTTTTTTTGTTGTCTATTTATTTATTTTGAAAGAGAGAGAGAAGAGAGAGAACATGAGCAGGGGAGGGGCAGAGAGAGAGGAAGACAGAGAATCCTAAGTAGACTCAGTGAGGTCAGCATGGAGCCTGATGGAGTGGCTCAGTCCCACAAACAGTGAGATCATGACCTGAGTTGAAATCAAGAGTTGAATGCTTAACTGACTGAGCCACTCAGGAGCCTCCCAAAGAAATCTTAAAAACACCATCTACTACAGCAAATGTCGGGGCCTTGCCCAGAGTACCTATGTCTACCCCCTGCATCTGCCAGTCCTACAGCTCCTTCTACTATGTTCTAAAGGCTCTCACTGGCCAACAGCTTGCAGGCACTACAGATCTGCCAGGGAGTTCATTCTTCCCAGAGTAGCCCTCAGCCAATGGCTGATGGGAATTAGGATACATGTTTAAGCCCCACCTCTTGGATGAGAGAAGCCCAAGGCCCATTCTACATAGTCTTCCAGCATTCCACTGTAGGATGGAACCCTGGTTGACCATGGTGGTAATATGCTCAAAAACACATGTTTGCTCTCTTTCTTCCCTTCTCTATATCACTTTCCCACTCCTCTACCAGGGCTTTCTGAAATTACCTACCAAGTAAAGCTACCTACATCAAATCTTTGTCTCAGGGTCTGCTTCTGAGGCCACAAATCAAGGCATACCTACAACCACCAGAAGATGGAAGAGGCAAGGCTCCCCGAGAGCCTCTAAAGGGAACACAGCCCCGCTGTCACCTTGATTTAAGCTCAGTGAAGCAGATGTTGAACTTCTAGCCTCCAGAACTTTGAGAGAATACATTTCTGTTGTTTAAAGCCACCAAATCGTGGTAATTTGTTACAGTAGCCCCAGGAAACTAATATAGTTTTACACTGAATAAGTCATTCCGTTAGCAAAACTGAAGCATCTTAAGAAGTGCTTACTTCTTTTAGACCTCTAGGATTTAATTTCTCAGTTTTGAAATGGAAACTGACACGTTCTGAAGCAGTTATCTGAAATAGATAACACTACTCCCATGTATAAAATTCTCTAGTGGTTTGCATCTATCTTAGAATAAAATCTGATCTTTGCACAGGGCTGCAAAGTGTCACATGGCTCCCTGCGTGACCCCTCTGACCAGCTACATGGGATTTCTTGCAGATGCTTGAGCAAGCCTCAGAGCTGCTAGCCTAGCTCTGACTTCTGCCTGGAACCCTCTTCTCCTTGACAGCTGCATAACTAACCCCCCTCCTGCGTTCCCATCTCAGCTTCCACACTAGCCCACAGAGAAGCCTTCCCAATTCCCCATCTGAAGTCACTATTAGATCACCCTGCACAGTGCTGATTGGTGTGCTGGGTTTCTCCTTTGCAATGACGATTAGTTTAATGTTCTCCTCTCTTAGATTGTAAGTTCCAATGCAGGAATCTTGTCTATAATTCACTGTGCTATCCCCAGTGTTAGAATAAGCTCTGGCATGAAGTCAGGGTTCAATAAATATTTGTAAGTGGGTGAATAGAAGAATAAATAAATTGTGGTGGAGATGAGATTTAGTGGCTTTAATTATTTCCTCTTTAATACAGGTTGCAAACCCAGATCTCTGCAGTGCCTGGGGCTCAGTAAGAGAATGCGTGGCTGGTGGACAAGGCACAGACCCTGACAATTCTGCCACAAGGAATTTGGACCCTGTGTGTGGCCAGCTCTTCTTATTTATTATTTATTATTATTGTTGTTGTAATGTTTATTCATTTAGGAGAGAGTGCAAATGGGGGAGAGGCAGAGGGAGAGGGACAGAGGACCCGAAGGGGGCTCCACACTGACAGTACAGAGCCTGATATGGGGCTTGAACCAATGAACCGTGAGATCATGACCTGAGCCAAAGTCAGATGCTCAACCGACCTAACCACCTAGGCACCCTTGATTTTTTTTCTTATTTAAAGATACACACCCCAGGGGTGCCTGGGTGACTCAGACAGTTGAGTATCAACTTGGGCTCAGATCATGATCTTACAGTTCATGGGTTCAAGCCCCACGTCCAGCTCTGTGCTGACAGCTCAGAGCCTGGAGCCTGCTTCAGATTCTGTGTCTCCCTCTCTCTCGGCTCCTCCCTCACTCATACTCTGTCTCTCAAAAATAAATAAACGTTAAAAAAAAGAAAGACTCTCCCCAAATCCAGTCTCTCATACAAAGCCACCAGTTTTAAAATATTGCCTCAAATTATTTTAAATACTATTTGAGCCAACTGAATATGTCTACCAGTCACATTCAGCCCAAGACTCTCATTTTGCTGCCTCCTCTTCAGCCTCCATTAGTTTCCAGGGCAGTAGGAGGTGGATTACAGAAGTACTTGAACTGCTAGCTTATCAGAACTTAAAAAGGGAAGAGGAGAAGAGCTGTTTCAAAAACATACACACATAGAAGCACATGGTCTGATGAAAATATCCTGTTGGCCTTATCCTAGAAAGAAAGAAAGGAAAGAAAGAGACAGAGAGAGAGAGAGAGAGAAAGGGAGAGAGAAAGAGGGAAGAAAAAGAAGGAAAGAAAAAAAATGAGAATAATCACCTCTTGGAGGAGGCAAGGCCTACTATCAGACTCCAGCATCCAGAAAACACAACTCTCTTCTTGTGAGATGCTCTTGCTAAATTAAGCAGAGCCCGAGGACAGTTGTGGATCCTAAAACTCGACTTAAGTCGTCACTTTGCAATTACAGTGATCCCCCCTCATCCACAGGGGATAAGCTCCAAGACCCCCACTGGTTGCCTGAAATTGCAGATACTATTGAAACCTATGTATACTGTTTTTCCTTGTACACGCATACTCATGATAAAATTTCATTTATGACTTAGGTATAGTAAGAGATTAACAACAATAACTAAAAGTAAAGTAATTAAAACAATATTATGCTAAGTGAAATAAGTCAGAAAGGGAAAGACAAATACCATATGATTTCACTTACTTAGAGAATCTAAAAAACAAAACAAATGAACAACAGAAAAAAGTAGTAACAGACCCATAAATACAGAGAATAAACCAATGGTTGGCAGAGGGGAGGGGGTGGGAAGATGGACAAAATGGGTGAAGGGGAATGGGTGACACAGGCTTCCAGTTATGGAATGATAAGTCATGGGGATGAAAGCCACAGCATTAGGAATATAGTCAATGACATTGTAATAAGCTTGTATGGTGACAGATGGTGGCTACACTTGCAGTGAGCACAGCATAATGTATAGTCTTATGGAATCATTGTATTGCACACCTGAAACTTAAGTAATGTGTCAACTATACTTCAATTAAAAAAATAAAACTATAACAAATGTTATAAGGACATGGTCTCTCTCAAAATATCTTGCTGTACTTTACTCACCCTTCTTGTAATGAGGTGAGATGATAAAATGCATGTAATGTGGTGAAATGAGATGACTGGCACAGACATTGTGACATAGCCGTAGGCTATGACTATTGACCTTCTGATGACTCTGCTTTCAAGCCACCGGTGACCATAGGTAACTGAAACTGTGAATCAGGGGGAACTACTGTATCAAGTAAGAAATGCTGCTTCGAACTTGTTGCAGTACATGGTCTTCATTATTCATGTGCACGTGCTTGTTTACTGGCCATGGATATACTTCATTCAAATGTGTGTCTTTCACTTCCTGGGATTTCTGATAACAAAGTGTTACTGATCCACCCCTCTAGGTGTCCAGGGCACTCTCAGATTTTTAGGTCAAGTGTGTGGTTGCTACTCATTCAGGTGCAGACTTAAGAGGATGGGAATTTAGATCGGACGAACTCCCTGAAATCTCACATGTCAGTATGGAATGGGGAAAAGCCCCAGGTTGTAGCCTCAGCTTTTCCAAGAATGATCAAGTGACCATGGAAAAGTCAGTGACCCTTCCTTGGCCTCAGTTTCCAAAGCTGTAGAATAAGGAAGCTGGCTCTGAAATGCCTTGCAGATCCCTCCCTGATGTGACAGTCTCTGATTTTTTGACTGCCTCACAGAGGATGCCACCTGTTGCTTCCATTGTCACTTGTGGGCTTCTGTGATGCTTACCAACATCTGCAAAAGTGGAAGCAGTGGAGAGTGAGTGCAAAGATCCAAGGAAGGAGAGAAGTGAATCGGCTTCGTCTACATCTTCACTTAACCAGATCAGGCTTCTGGAGAGCAATTTCTGTAGTAAACCCCTGTCAGGTGCGCCCACCTATTTGTACCATAACCTCAGAGCCACAGCTGTCTCCTTGAAGGAAAAGAAAATTGTTCTGAACAGTTCTGGGAAGGGTGATGGGGAAGATTATTTGTGATCACAGACAAACTCAGAAATATATTCGCTTCTTAATCTTTTGAATAAATGATTCATAGAATGCATGCATTTTAAGGAATTGAATGCTTTTTGTTGTTTTCCCGGAACTCTCCATTTCTGAACAG